GGCGGCGTGGACAGCGAATCCTGTTCAAACTGAACAGGAACTGCTGTTGGGCATTGTACCCATTCTTTCCGTGCCCATTTCGGGCGTCCACTCGAGGGCCACTTGCTCTGGCGAGCGCGTGGACCCATGGTCCTCCGCAGCAGCGTCGTCAAGCCCGTGCCCCCCCTCGGCCCCGCGCCCCCGACGCCGCCCGATTTTGCGCGGGCGGTGGTGGCGCAGCCGACTCCGCGGAGGATAGCTCCCCTCTGAGAAACAAAGCATTGCCCGCCAGCCTTATGTCGGGCGTGTCCCCCTACAGAGGGATTTTCGACGAAAGATGAAAAATATCCCCAAAATACTCCAAAAAGGTCAAAAAATATTCAAAAAATAGTCCCCAGACTATTTTTGGACTATTGTTTGACTATTTTGGGGGTATTGTTCATTTTTCGTCGAAAATCCCCCTGTAGGGGGACTCGCCCAACTTAACGCCAGCCCCGCGGCCAGCGCGCGGCAGTATGCTGAGAACCTGGCGCTCGATGGCCCTGGCCATGTGCACGTGCTTTCCCGCGCCGCGAGACAGGTGTCGCAAGCTCCACGTCGGCGCCTATTCCAAGGGCGCGCCTCCATCGCGCGTGGCTCCGAGTAGCGGTGCGCAGCTGGGATAGGGGCAGCTGGAACGAGTACCAAGGTTTCTTCGCCGCCGTCGTCCCCGCCTCCGCCTCCTCCTCCTCCGCCTCCTCCTCCTCTTATTATTATTAGTATAAGTATTATTATTATGATTATTAGTATTATTAGTATTATTATTAGTATTATTATTATTATTATTATTATCACTATTATTATTAATATCAGTATTACAAATAATATTATCGTTATTATTATTAGTATTATTATGATTCGTATTATTAGTGTTGTTGTTAGTATTGTTGTTATTATTATTCTTATTAGTATTCCTATTAGTATTATGATTATTACTATTATTAGTATTGTCATCCTTCTTCCTCCTCCTCCTCCTTCTCCTCTTCCTCCTCCTCGTCCTCCTTATCCTCCTCCTCCTCATCATCATCATCACCATCATCATCCTTATCCTCCTCCTCTTCCTCCTCAACCTCCGTCTAGAAACTTGCAAGAGGCTCCCGGAGTGAGGGCGGGTGGTTTTCACAATGTGGCTCGAGCCTCAGCGCCGCGCAAATTCTTGATTTATAAGATTTGCAAGAGCGTCGCGGATTGAGGGGGGTCGCGTTCAAAATGTGGCTCTCGCCTTAGCGCCGCGTACAATCGTTTTACTAATGTACAAGAGCTTCACGGATTGAGGGCGGCTCCTTTTTTAAACATGCGGCTACCGCCTTAGCGCCGAGCACAGTCGTTTATAAAATGTGCCAGGGCTTCACGGTTTCCCATGATCAACGTACCAGAAATGGTGTTTTGGAAAGATTCAGGACTATACGGGCGCAACAGTTACGCTGATTCGCGGCGTTGAAGTCCCAAGAGTAGCGTTCTGACACGATTCGGGCTCGTCAAGGCGCAACAGTCAGGTTGATCCGTGGCGGTGGACTTCCGAGAACAATGGGTTGGCATGCTTCAGACTCTTCAAACGGTTGCCTTTGGACGAGGCAGTCCCCTCAGTGAAGATGCACCGTTGTTGGAGCCTACGAAGAGAGAGAGCTTCGAGGGAGGGTTTATTACAACATCGTTGATGACTCTTGGGTTTACACTGGTCCTCCTCCTCAACCCCCTCCTCCTCCTCGTCCTCCTCCTCCGTCTTCTCCTCCTCCTCCTCCTCCTCTGTTTCCTCGTCTTCTTCTTCGTCCTCCTCCTCCTCCTCCTCCTCTTCCTCCTCCTCCACATCCCCCCACACTCCTCCGCCTCTCCCCCTCCTCCTCCATCTCCTCCTCATCCTCCTCTCCTCCTGCCTCGCCTCCTCGCTCCTCTACCTCGCCTCTCCCTGCCTCCAACTCCGATCTGCAGCCTCTGTTTCTCGTATTCTTCTTCGTCTCCTCCTCCCTCTTTGCTCCTCCTCTCCCGCTCTCTCGCTACCTACCTCCCTCCTCCTCCGCCGCCACCGCCGTCGTCCTCCGCCCTCGGGCCTCCGCGTCCGCCGCCCTTTCTCCCTCCTCCCGTGCCGGCCTCTCGCCCGCCGTGCCGCCGTCGCGCGTCGCCGCCTCGCCTCCGCCTCGCCTCCGCTCTCGCCTAACCTCCTTCTCTCCTCCTCCTCCTCCCTCATCCTCTTCCTCATCATCATCATCATCATCATCATCATCATCATCAGCATCATCATCATCATCATCATCATCATCAGCATCATCATCATCATCATCCTCATCAGCATTATCAGCATCAGCATCCGCATGATCGTCCGCATCATCGTCATCAGCATCACCATCATCATCATCAGCATCATCATCATCATCATCATCATCATCATCATCATCATCATCATCATCGACATCATCAGCATCATCATCATCATCAGCATCAGCATCACCACCACCATCATCATCATCATCATCAGCATCAACATCATCATCATCATCAGCAGCAGCAGCATCATCAGCATCGTCATCAGCAGCATCAGCATCATCAGCAGCAGCATCAGCAAGATCATCAGCATCAGCATCAGTATCATAATCATAAGCATCAGCATCACCAGCATCGTCATCGTCAGTAGCATCGACATTATCATCATCATCATCAGCACCAGCACCAGCATCAGCATCAGCATCAGCATCATCGTCAGAATCATTAGCAGCATCAAAATCAGCATCATTATCCTCATCAGCATCATCAGCATCATCATCAGCATCGTCATCGTCATCGTCATCATCATCAGCAGCAGCATCAGCATCATCATCATTAGCAGTATCATCATCAGCAGCAGCAGCAACAGCAGCAACAAAAACATCATCATCATCATCATCATCATCATCATCATCACCACCATCATCAGCATCATCATCATCAGCAGCATCACATCAGCAACAGCATCATAATCGTCAGCCACAGCACCATCATCATCATCATCATCATCATCAGCAGCAACATCATCATCATCATCATCATCATCATCATCACCATCATCAGCATCATCATCAGCATCATCATCAGCAACATCAGCATCAGCATCAGCATGAGCATCAGCATCAGCATCATCATCATCATCATGACCATCATCAGCAGCATCGTCATCATCATCGTCATCATCAGCATCATCATCAGCATCATCATTAGCATCATCAGCATCATCATCGTCATCCTCATGATCATCATCATCATCAGCAGCATCATCCTCATCCTCATCCGCATCATCATCCTCATCCGCATCCTCATCCTCATCCTCATCCTCATCCTCATCCTCATCATCAGCATCATCATCATCATCATCATCATCATCATCATCATCATCATCATCATCATCATCCGCATCAGCAGCAGCATCAGCAACAGCAGCAGCAGCAGCATCATCAGGCATCAGCCAGCACTTCAGTCCTCTTTTTCCTTTCTCCTTCATCATCCTCCCCCATCCTCCTCATCCTCCTCCTCGTCTCATCCTCATCCTCTTCCTCCTCCTCCTCCTCTCGTCTTCCTCCTCCTCCCCCTATCCATCCACCTCCTCCTCCTCCTCCTCATCCGGCCTCCTCCGCCTCCTCTCTCCGCCTCCGCCTCCGCCTCCGCCTCCGCTCCGCCTCCGCCTCCGCTCCTCCTCCTCCTCCTCCTCCTCCTCCATCCGCTCCGCCTCCGCCTCGCCTCCGCCTCCTCCTCCTCTCTCTCCTCCTCCTCCTCCTCCTCCTCTCCTCCCTCCTCCTCCCTCCTTCCTCCTCCGCCTCCTCCTCCTCATCATCCTCCTCTCCTCCTCCTCTCCTCCTCCTCCTCTCCCCCCTCCTCCTCATCCTCCTGCATCATCAGCATCAGCATCAGCATCAGCATCAGCATCAGCATCAGCATCAGCATCAGCATCAGCATCAGCATCATCAGCAGCATCAGCATCAGCATCAGCATAGCATCAGCATCAGCATCAGCATCAGCATCAGCATCAGCATCAGCATCAGCATCAGCATCATCATCATCATCATCATCATCATCATCATCATCATCATCATCATCATCATCATCATCATCATCATCATCATCATCATCATCATCATCATAATCATCATCATCATCACCATGTTCATGAAGCATCGTCATCATCATTATCCTCGTCATCATCCTCACAATCATCATCATCGTCAATCATCATCATCGTCATCGCCATCATCATCAGCAGCAGATCAGCATTCATCATTATATCATCATCATCATCATCATCATCATCATTCATCATCCCCATCAGTATCAGTATCAGTAATCCGTAAATCCCCCCCTTCCTTTCTCTCTCTCTTCAGTATCACCATCTCAGCATCATCGTTGGCATCATTCATCAGCATCATCTTTCAACATCATTATCATTCATCGTCGGTCATCAGCATAAGCACCATCATCGTCATCGTAATTTTCATAATCATCGCATCATTCATTCAAGCAGCAGCTCATCGCTCCTCGCTCCTCGCTCATGGCTCCTTGCTCGCTCTCTCCCTCCTCTCCCCTCTCCCTCCTCCTCCCTCCCTCCCTCCCTCCCCTTCCCTCCTCCCTCCCCCTCCTCCCTCCTCCTTCCCCCTCCTCCCTCCTCCCTTCTCCCTCCACCCTCCTCCCTCCCCCCTTCTCCCTCCTCGTTTTTCCCTCCTCCATTATCCATCCTCCCTCCCTCCTCCCTCCTTCCTCCTTCCCTTCTTCTCCTCCTTTTACTCCTCCGTCTGTTCCTCGCTCCCTCCACCCTCCTGGGGACACCAAAAGATACCGACTGCGCCACTCCGCCTGACCTTTCTTGGGGTGCGTTCTGACGACGATTTCGAGACGACTCCAGCGATGGCGACGAGGGCCTCCCCCGAGGCCCAAACCTGACGTCCTGGGCCAACACGGCCACGCCCTCCACCGGGTGGGGGAGGGCCGCGGCGAGGCGGCGGGCGAGGAGGCCCCCCCCGGCA